AGACTTTAAGGTCCCAGAGGACCACCATTACCATTGAATCTTTTTCTTGGTCACCACTTCCCAGGATAGAGCCTCTCATTCTGTGTCTAGGACTATGCCTACACTGGCGGGTTCTTGCACAAGAACACGTTCACACTGCCATGTCCAAGATGTGCTTTTGTGCAAGAGCGCCCATGACAGTGTGGACGTTCTCTTGCGCAAGAAAGCTATGATGGCCATTTTAGCCATAGGGCTTTCTTGCACAAGAAACCCCTGCTGAGGGTCCACACTGACCTCTTGTGCAACAGCTCTTGTGCAAGAGGGCTTACACCTGTTAGAAAAGAGAATAGCTCTTTCACAAGAAGCCCTCTCTTACCGCACTGAACTGTAAATCTTCTTGCGCAAGAGCAGGTAGGCAGTGTGGATGCTTTCAAGAAGAACCGCCATTCTTCCGCAATAACCCACCAGTGTAGATGTAGCCCTGATGTTTAACTATACCTTTAGCTCTGCTCAAAGGAGAGTGATACATATCCAGACTAGAGAGGAGTGATAGAGATGGAAAAGAGAATAGTAGAGACACACATCACAGCTGATTGCAGGAAAGTCAAAGTACAGATGAGGGGCAATTGTCTGGATGCTTCAGCAGCTGAGTTTTCAGGCAGGGTGCATTCCTGGCACACTCAGGGCTCTATCTCATGGGGAATCTGGCATGTTCAAAGGCATAGGACAGGCCTGACAATCTTCCTTCTCCCATTATCTACAATCTACCAATGAGACCCAGGCCAGCTGTTCTCTGGTTGTCAAGACCAAATGTAGAAATCGAAGAGAAACATACTCTTCTCCCTGTCCAGGATTCCAGAGGGTTTAGAAAATGCAAACACTCTGAATGCATACCTGCTTAAACCAACACTCTGAATCACTTTTCTACTGAATATATATTGTTAATTAGAATGCTGGCATATTCCTGACTACAGGTCAAATGAATGCATAAGAGGATCTATGCACTCTTAGTGCTTGGGAATTTCTGCTTGCCTAAATTCAGCCTATAAAGAGTTAACTAGCTCTACGAGTCCTTCACACCCCCTGAACAGAATTCATTTGTCAAAAAGAAAACAGACTAAGAAACTATTTTAGATTTCCTCTGATACCCATTTAATTCTTGGGGTTTTTTTCTCTGACACTTGCAGCCCGCTGGTGCCAATTATGTAGGTTATATTTCTGCCAGCTTTGCTGTGATATTGTCTTTAATAATTCATATGAACATGTTTAATATGCTTATGTGATGCTGTGTGTGCATGTGTGTGTTGTGTCTTTCCCATTTTAGAGGCCATCTAGGCATGGAAATCCTTTATAAGATGCTTCAGCTGGGAGATGAAGTTGTCATTGCAAGTTTAATGAAGAAGGGGAAATTTAACCCAGAGAGAGTCCGCAGTAATATGATTTGCTTAAATATCCGTATCGAGAAAGGTGTCATTTCTTGGCAGGGTGAACAGAAGTTTCAGTGAAGCAAATTTGGGTCCATTGAACCAAACTCCTGCTTTGTGAGTTACAGCAGAGCAGAAAAGAAGAGTACCTACAGAGGGGAAAACACATATGCATGACTTGCATTTGTCTCAGAAGATTGTGAAGGGGATGTGCCTCAGGTCAGTCTAATAGTCAGCTGGCCTACTGGTCAGGCAGAGACTTCACTGTTCTTTTCAGTCTGCCCATCTTAAAGGGGCCCTGCCAGGCCAAATGAGACAGGCCTCCATCGCTGCTGTGGGTACTATGCCATGAAGAACACAAAATCCTCTTCCCTACCTCTTGGGATTTTGTCACAACAAAGAGTAGGGGAAACAAAGGAGAGGATTGCAAGCTCTCCCTCTCTATCAGGTCCCAAAAGTGGTGTTGGAACATTTTTAAGAGTGGGGGTGCTGACATAGCCCCCTTTCCTCTGTCCTACCCTCCCCCAGCTGAGGCTGGGGGCTGGCAACAGAGCCCCTAGTGCATGGGGCTGAAGCAGAGACCACATCCCATGTGCACATTTGGCAGCCAGGACTCTAGGCCCAGAGCCAGCAGCAGAGCCCCCAGCACACATGGCCAGCAGCAGAGCCCCAGGAGTGCAGGGCGACCTCTGGATCCCTGGGAGCAGGGCCGGCAGCAGAGCCTGCAGCTGCAGGGAGGCCACTGGGACCCTGGGTGCTAGGTTGGGATCCCAGACATGCTGTAGCACCCATCTCACCCCTAATTCCTGCACTTGTGGGTCCCAAGCCCAGGCTATAAAGTGATGTTACAGTGTCTGGATTAATCATTGGTCAACCCCAATTTACAATCCCCACCAGCTGTTTCCTATCAGGCTGTGGCTCCTGCATTTCAAATGGAGTCTAAGGAGGCAACACAGTGAAAATAAGAATGACCATTCCTCAGTAGTGATGCTGTATGTGTTGTGTCTTTCCCATTTAAGAGGCCATCTTAAACACAATACAACACAATACAACAGTTCAAGGGAGAAAGTGAAGAAGATTGCATCCAGTAGAAATTGAAGAGGCGGGAGAGAATAGATAAATAGAAATTAATTATCTGAATTGGAAGATAGCCAGGAGAGTTAACACCCCTGCTTTTACGTAAAGAGCACTGGGATCTTTAATCACCAAGTCATCAGGATCCTGCTTTTACATATTATCCTAAAGACAGCACCTCCAGCAACACAGCATCCCCAACAAAATGCCAGGTCACAGGTTTAGCAATGATTTCCACAGAAGAATGACCCTCACTAAGTCACCAGCAACACTTCTGGAAGTCTATTGACTTTTCCTTAGGTCTCTCATACTGAGGCCCCACTGAGCTGTTGAGATCTAACACAGTTAGACTATGTCTACACTGCAGGCTTTTTGCGCAAGAACAGCTGTTCTTGCACAAAAACTTGCAGAGTGTCTACACTGCACACACGTTCTTGAGCAAATAAATTTACAGTAAAGCATCGGAAAATAGAGCTTCTTGCGCAAGTTATTCCTCTCCCCATGAGGAATAAGCCCTCTTGTGCAAGAGCCCTTCCACAAGAAGGCAGTGTAGACGGGCAACAGGTGTTTCTTGTGCAAGAAAGCCCTATGGCCAAAATGGCTATCAAAGCTTTCTTGCGCAAGAGAGCGTCCACACTGCCATGGATGCTCTTGCGCAAAAGCACATCTCTTCCACAAAAGCACATGGCAGTGTGGACGCACTCTTGTGGAAGACCTTTTGCACAAGAACTCTTGTGTAAAACAGTTCTTGCGCAAGAAGCCTGCTGTGGAGATGTAGCCTTAAGGTATGTCTATGCTGCAATGCTATTTTGGGTTTCCAGAGGTATCCTGAAATAACTACCCCGCGTCTTTAGAATGCGTCTGCTATTTCACAATATAGGGGACACACTGTTCCGCCATCCCTGAAACCTCATTCTACGAGGAGTAAAGGATGGCTCAAAATAGCGTTTTATTTTGAAATTTGGTGCTGTGTAGACAATGCAAAATTTTGAAATATCCTATTTTGAAATAGACTCGAAATAAGCAAATTGCATATATTATTTCGAATTTTGGGTGCTGTGTAAACACACCCTTACAGTCCAAGATGGTAGAAGCAGACTCAGCAGCTTTCACACTATCCCCTCAATGTGCCACAGCATTTTAGTAAATCAAAATGAAATGTGCGTTTAGGAACCTAAAGAATCAAGTTGCCAAAAATGGGACTCAACTCTGCAATACCCCTTCCTTGCTCAAGTAATTCTCATTCATCCATCTGAATTAGGCCTTTGATCTTGCTGGCCTCAACAGCTGATAAAACTAGGACTCAGAATTCATCATCTCTGTCATGTGTCTCTCTTCATCCATTGTAAGGATTATTTTTAGACTTTTTCTCTGAGCCAAAAGGTAAGGAGACAATAATTTCCTTTGAGGCTGTAGCCAGCTGGCCTAATACAAAACCATTTAGTGGTCATTTCAAAAGAGGTTAAGAAAAGAGACTATCCTAAAAAGCTTCCTTGACAAGAGATATTTGGGAGTAAGAGCGGGCATGGATGTGCCACTATCAGATAAAAATTAAGAGCCATATATTATATAGCTGGCGATAAAATCCATGATATGCTCCTACTTCACCTCCAGTGTATTTGATTCTTCTCTAAGGCACAAAGTTACTCTCACAAAGAATCACTTTCATGGCAGGAGAAGGGCGAGAAAGAGATTTTTTTTGTCTTCAGAAAGAAGCTGTCTCTGCTTTTGAACTACTTCTCTCAACACTGATAAAATAGACCTTTCATCCACCTTTAAGTGTATCCATTTTAAGATAGAGTCAGTCAACTTTTCAAACTTAACACAACTCCATCAAAACTGTGTTGGCCTTGAAAATTGCATACAACCAGGATTTGAGCTAAGATTTGAAAGAATAAAAAATATGAAAAAAGTTCTCCAGCTCTTTATATATCCCTCGTAGCAAGTGTTCAGGCACCACCCTAACCCTAAGTCTAATCCTTTCTGGGAAAGACAATACAGCATGCCTAATCATTCAGGGCTTCTCTGTTTGGGGACATGAAGGAAAGTTAATCCAAATTAACTAATGGTGTGATATGGAGTGGGTTAAAACACATGACACCTCTGTGTGAACAACCTCATTCAGAATTAAAGTAACTTTAATTCGGTTATCTTTATTTGCTTCCAAAGTGAATTCATTTTAACTGAATTAAGGCCATTTTAGATCTAAATAATAGCATTCACACGGGGATTTGGCGAGTTTGAACTAATACACTTTAAAAAGTAATTTGGTTAATTTTCTTGACTGCCCCTGCATGACACCTCTGTGTGAACAACCTCATTCAGAATTAAAGTAACTTTAATTCGGTTATCTTTATTTGCTTCCAAAGTGAATTCATTTTAACTGAATTAAGGCCATTTTAGATCTAAATAATAGCATTCACACGGGGATTTGGCGAGTTTGAACTAATACACTTTAAAAAGTAATTTGGTTAATTTTCTTGACTGCCCCTG